CACTGAAGGAACCAGTAATGGCATCGAAACCAGTGGCATAAATCAAAATGTCGAGTTCGTGCTCTTTGCCATCAGATGTGATGATGCGGTCAGACTTGACCTCAGACACCGGGGCCTTCTTGAGGTCAACAAGGTGCACGTTGTCTTGGTTGAAGGCCTCAAAGTAGCCGCTCTCCAACGGCACACGACGGGTACCAAATCCGTGCGTCTTGGGAATTAGAGACTCTGCCACCTCCGGGTCGTGGACTCTTTGCCTAATCTTGTCTGCGATGAACTTGGAATACAGCTCATTGGCCTGGCGATCCGTGTACGTGTCGCTAAAGAGACCCTGCCACTTGCCGAAGCCCGGCTCGTTGTACAGCTTCTCCCAAAGGGCGGTGCGCTCTTCTTCCGTAACTTCCATTGACTTGCGGGGCTCCGCCATGTGCATGAAGCCTGATGGTGTGGAGCGGCAGATGCCGAAAATGTTCTCATAGTCTTTCTTGAGCTCCTCCATCTTCTCTGGCGAGATTTCGTAGTTGCGCAAGGGAACCGTCCATGTTGCCGTTCTTTGAAAAACGCTGATGGACTTGATGCTTGGCTCCTTTGACAGTGCGGTGATGGTTTGGATGCCAGTGGCCCCAGTCCCGACAACGCCAACGCGCTTACCGGCAAAGTCCCGAGCAAGGTCCAAATCTGTCGGCCATCGGGATGTGTGGAAAGATTGGCCCTTGAAGTTTTCAATGCCAGGAATAGCGGGCAGTGATGGTGTCGAAAGAAAGCCGATGCAGCTGAGGAAGAAAGTGGTGATGTACTGGTTGCCGTCCTGGTCGACGAATGTCCAGTTGTGGTTGCTGTCGTCCCAGCGAGCTGACTTGACGGTTGTGTTGAACTGGATATATTTATAGAGGTCGTTTCTCTCCGCGAAACGCTTGATATACTTGTGCGTCTCGGGCTGGGGAGAGAAGGCCTCCTTCCAGTGCCATTCCTCCAAGAGACCCTTGTCAAAAGAGTAGCTGTAGGACACGGACTCGCAATCGAACCGGCATCCGGGGTAGCGGTTCCAGAACCACGTTCCGCCGACATCTGCACCGTTGTCGAGTACCTTTACCCTGCAATCGGGCATCTGTTCTCGGATGTGGTGCAGACTGGCAAGGCCGGATAGGCCTGAGCCAATAATGAGAACATCATAGTTCTCCTTCACAGGGGTCGGAATAGAACCCATGATTGCGGAGGGGGTTTGAAGAAGTAAACTGAAATGTGTCGAGTTGGATTCTGAGAGTTGTCTGTAAGCACCAAGTGTTGATAGGGATGTTTTCTTGATGAAATTCTTCTTGAGCTCCAGCAATAAAGTCTTATTCATCGAAGTCTGTTAGATGTCTAAATAGCCCACAGCTCGTCCTTGAGAAAAGGCCTTTCTCTTAGCAAATAGAATCCCGCTGAGAAAGTATCTGCACGACTTTCCCGTCGCATCTTCCACTGCATTAACCGCCCAAGTTGTTCACTTCAAACATCCCGATCCCGCGTGGGGCTTATCTGAAGTGGCGGCCCCCGAATCGGGGATGACTTGCCAACTCTGGATTTGGGTGGTGTTGACCAAAGTTCGCCTATCGGGCACCTCCCCCGCACAGAGTCTCTTTCAACTTCAAAGTCTCCTCTCACTTTGAATGAGGGCATTCCCCTGGCTTTTAAACTACACTACACAATACGACCACGTACACCGAATCCTGTCCAGTGCCTCAAAGGTGAACCTTGTGTTGGTATACACGTCAGCAGGGCAACCGTACGGTTGGAACGAAGTGTCAATAATGGTCTATTATTGCTGCGTCTGGAGGTGGAAAGAGGAGATTGTGGGCAGAGCCCACGATCTCCCAGAAGTGGTATATAAGTGAAAGGGCCGTTTGTAAGTGCCCATACCGCCTTCCAGATCCATCTTTTCTGCCGACTGCTCAGAGATCCAACACCTTGTCTGGGCTGACCAGGGAGACCAACGCCGATACCACCTAGTGCCGGCTCAGCTCTCTGAACGGAAGATATTACAAGTCTTGGAAAAGCATGGATTGAGATAAGTTCCAGTCGTCCCTGTTCCTAGCCCATCCGAGGTATTAGGCGACTTGGCGAAGATACGAAATGTAATGGTGTCGAGTCAGATAGGAAAGCTTTCCCAGCTATCAGACGCCAAAACATGTACCCCAGGTTTACTATGGGGTCACCGGGTTCGTTCGCTATTCCCCCGCTCTTATCAAAGGCCCCCGCTCCAATGGATGCGCTAAAGCTGCGTTACACATTTCGTTGCGCCCTATTCGTATCTTTCCGTGGACATTCATCCCGGCATGTTGGTACACACCTTGGCTAATATGTTGCCCTCAGCCCCTTGATATAACTTTCCATAGTTATCCATTTGCGGAGTCCAAAGTACCAGCAGTTGATATCGCAAACGTTCGACCTGCGCCAAACCCTTCTGACGTCCTCCCTTAAACCAAACAGGAAGTGGAATCCCGAGCCAACGCTGGCTCGCCCGGAATGGCCGATGCCAACAACTCCCGACTGTCTTTGCCCAAGGACGCAGACGCCCGGCGCAGTCGGTCCTTTGGCGGATGTGGAACTGTACGTAATGCCACCCATCAACGCTCGTGAACCTGTGGAATCTAGATAGATCGTAGGCTTGGACCAAGGCGCTGACTTGCTTCAGTGTCGAAACCGTCGGATGAAGTGTGACGAGGGTCGGCCGACGTGCTCCATGTGTAGAGCCTCCAACCTCACATGCAGCGGCTATGAGAAGAACATCTTTTTCGACTTTGAGGAGATTCCGAGCGTCGGAATGGCGCGCTTTAGGAGGCCCTTGTTGACAGAATCGGAACGCGAGTCAATGAGTGACGAGCTCGTCTCCAGCATTCCGCCGGCGCTGACTCTTTGGCACATTGCCCAAATCGAGGACGAGTGCGAGAGAACACCACTTTCCCAAAGCGTTCAAATCAGTCGAGGTCCTTTCGGGGCCTTCAGAGTACATCGACTCTCATTGGAATCTTCAAAAGCTGCCCCCGAATCAAGTCCAGAGTCAAACAATCCCACAGTCGGCAGCCCTCCAAAGGCCGCGAAAGAGATTGGCGAGGACAGTCCCGGGGGAGCAGACGAGGAGCTCATGAATTCATCAGACGTTCCTCCGGCACAAGAGACGACGCCGTTGCTTGGGCCTGCCCTTGACTGCTTGGACCACCGTCCATTAAGCCCTCTGACTGAGTGGTGGAACACGAACGAATGGTGGAACATGGGCGATCTCCCAGACGTGAGCAACTGGTGGGACACGCTCGTGGATCTAGATCGCGTACGCGATATAACTGATAATGTCTCGTTCACTGGTATTGAGCAATATCCGAGGGTGCCGATGCATGTCGCTTCTCAGGAGGTTCAAGCTTTTATACCGAGCATGTTTACAGAAACTCAGCCTCAGCAGCTGGCTACGCCAGGCAACTGCTCCATCGCCCCCACAATCGACTACGCTGTTCCTCACGATGCCGTCTTCCTTCTCAGACACTACTCTACAACAGTGCTCCGGGGCTTCACGCCTTTCCGCCACAGTAAAACGCCATGGCACATCCTATTCATACCATACGTCAAAAGTTGCCTCGCAGCACTGACTCTTGGAGACGACATGGACCACGCCAGCCTGACGGCATTCTACGGTACTCTCGCCATCAGCGCCTCCAGCCTCGGCGGCATTTCCAACTCGCGCAAGTGGTCCGAACAGGCAAACAACTATAAACAGCGCGCTCGTCACCACGTCCGGCTCATGCTGCAGACAGCCTACGATGTTCCCAAAAAGGCAAAGTACAAGTCAATACTGACTGCGTTCCTGACCATGGTGCAAATCTCAAGCGTCTCCGGTAGCCGTGATCAAGTGGAGTGTTATCTCCTAGAAGCGGAAAAGTTTATACGCGTCAAGGGGCTCAACAGGAAGAAGTCTCGCAAGGTGCGACTGCTGCATCACTGTTACGCGTTCGAGCGGGTCTTGCACGAGACCACGTTTCCGGGGAGCACGCAGTCTCCTCACCGTCTTCACGTGCGCAAGGTGATTGAGACCAGCAACGCTAGCGCATATAGCCTGGATAGTCTGTCGTTCCAGCTGACTAGCTGGAGCAACCTCGACCAAGAAATGCTCAAGGTCAAGGGGCGGGAGGAGGGGGAGAACGATCTCCACCTCCAGATCCCGGGTGTTTGGCTCGCGACGCTGTATCCGGAAATCTTTGGTATTCCAGAGATCTACATCTTCCTCCTGTCGCTTGTCATAAGGCTGGCTCGGTCAAAAGAAGACCCAGAGTACTCGAGTCCCGCGGGTCTCAAAGAGTTCATGTTCCGCGCCAAGGCAGTCGAGAGACGTATCCATCAACTCAGGCGGCAGCCCGGGTATGTGCTAGCAGACCTGCCGACCTCAGACCCGGAGCTGCAGCACTGCCAGCAGTTTCTAGATAACCTCTCGCAGGCCATGCAGCTGGCCCTGACCATATTTTTCTATCGAAGGGTGTACGACGTGGAGGCGGACATGTTACAGGATAAGGTCGTCGGTGTCCGGGATTGCTTGCTGCGGTTCGAGGCTACCGAGTCCGAGATGGGGTACGGATCGGCTAGGCTGGTATGGCCTGCGGTAATTGCGGCGAGCGAGGCGGATGATGCAGGGGTGCGGGAATCGTTTGCACAGTTTTTCAGGGACTGGGCGCGTCGGAGCGGTCTTCGTATCTTCAGCGATTCTCTCGTGGATATAGAGAGGCGGTGGGCGGAAAAGGAACGTGTAGATAGCTGCGGCACTAACGAGGCCATCTTGGTATCTTGATATACATTTAACTGGCTGTCCTGCAGTGTCCGTTTTCAACTCCGAAAATGATTTAATGTGTAAGTAGGTTGCAGTCTTGCATCACATGATGGAGGACGTGCCTGGATTTGTTGTTGAGCGAGCAGATAATGTTCGACTTACCCCTTTGGTGGGGTCTTCGCCACCTCTGCATGGGGGATAAGTTTCCTATTCTGTGCGAGCTTCCTACGTGTAAGTTCTCCTCCAGATACCCCGTGCTACCTCATCAGAAACAATCTCCGCTCGAATACTTGCCTATGAAGTTTGGCTGTCGCTATGCCGCAGACTGGTATCTCTACTTTATTAGAGGGACGAAGGAAGGCATCAAATATGCTTGTTCATAGTAGAGACTAACTTTTCGCAATCGTACCCTGGCACACATTTACTTCACGCGAGTACTATTTTCCATCACACCATGTCTTCCTTCCAAGGCAAAGTTGTAAGTCAGGTAAACTACCCACCTCTTCGAAAAGCATACTCATGTCATCACCGGGTAGATCGCAATCACCGGCGCCGGCTCCGGCATGGGCTTGTCAACGGCCCAGCTCCTAGCCTCCCGCGGCGCTAAGCTATCATTGGCGGATATCAACGAAGACTCTCTCAAGGAAGCAATCTCGTCTCTTGAGGATAGTGCAAGCCACATGTACGAAGTTGTCGACGTAAGGAAAGGCGATGTCGTCAACACTTGGATTCAAAATACAGTCACGAAGTTTGGGAAGCTTGACGGGGCTGTCAACATGGCTGGCGTCATTACCCACGCCACTCCCGTCGCGGAGCTCACAGACAAGGATTGGGATTTCGTCTTTGAAGTCAATGCTAAAGGTGTCTTCAACTGTCTGAGGTCCCAATTAGGAGCCATGTCTGCGGGAGGCAGTATAGTAAGTTCCTTCTCTATTTCTGACTTCTAGACCGGCTGCTCGCCCGTTCCTCTGGCTAGGCGTAGTTCCAGAAGCTAACATACAATTTCTCATCGCAGGTATCTGCGGCCAGTGTTTTCGGCCAGTTTGGAGCTCCTGGCAACGCTGCATACTGTGCCAGCAAGGCAGCTGTCATTGGCTTGTCAAGAACAGCAGCCAAAGAAAACCAAAACATTCGTGTGAATTGCGTGTCACCTGGTAAGTCCTCTCTGTCCTTTCGCTTTCTCTCCCTGTGGTATTATCTGCCTCATTGCGCGTAAACTTGGGAGTGATACAGAACTAAGCTAAGTCCACTCTACAAGCTCTGTCAACACGCCGTTGTCTCGTGGAGAGAATCCAGAAGATGTGAAACGCGGTCTACAAGTAACCGCGCAGAAGAGAAGAGCAGAGCCTATTGAGATTGCTCGCGTTATCGCATTTCTTCTCAGTGACGAGGCCTCTTTCGTCACAGGAGCTGTGTACAATGTTGATGGCGGTTGGGTTTGTTAAGCATCGTACTGTTGAAGAATGGTGCTTGTCTTGGGCTTTGTGTCTGAAGGAGACTCATGAATTTTCGTCAACGAATCTCTAGATTTGATTCAAAAGACAACCCTCCACAATGCAACGCTTGAGATGAATTTCTGAGGCCACTGTCATGTTTGAATACACGTGTGCCTCAATGTCAGTATCTGAAAATGTTTGTACTTGATAGACCGACGATAATGACCTCCGCATACCTCTTGTAACACCCCGAGAATGAGCCACTCCCCTGATAGCGGAGGACTACTAGCATTGTTATTGCGTAGACTGAAATTGATCAAAGGTTGAGGTTAGAAGGCGAAATTTCAGCTTGGGACATATATGGCTAGGATATCGATGTTTCGATCAAGTATGCCTCAGGGAAGGATTAAGTGTCTTCCTAGAGGCTACACTTTGGCACATGAGACATCGGAAACGGCGATCCTATTGCATGGTGCCGCTGTTGATGTTCGATGGTGACCGTAGCTTGAGGTCTGATGCCTGGTGGATGTCATTCAGCCCAAACATAACAAGACGAAAATGCGGCTGAGGAGAAGTCCAATTTTCGAGCAGACTCCAAGGTCTCCTGAACTCGTTATCGAAGGCGATGAAAGCGCATGTTGCTGGAAACGTTCGATTACAATTTGTGCTTGGTGGGGTTAACCTGTCAAGATGACACCTGAAACTGGAACCATCGAACTCTCGCAAGAATGAACCGTATTCTCACCTAAGAATTCTCCAGAGGAATGAACAAGTGAAGACAAGAATCTGTCACAACAGATTGAAGGGGAGAGACCGATCCACCTCGCATGAAGCACCCTCTGTTGGACCTCGGCCAGACCAAGGACCGTTGTCCAGACCATTCCAGTGCCAACAACGGCAATGGTCTAGCTTCCCAATCTCCATCAGAGTGCGGATACTAAAGTTTCAGGTACTGACGAGACCATTTTGAAAATACCACAAATCCCTTTGATGCGCCAACTCGGCCCGCATACGGAACGCTCAAAGCGGCTGACTCTGAACTCATAGACAGACATTGACAGACATGACTGCATGTTCGGGTGGCTCCGCTGTCAAGCCCGAACCCTTGGCATCACGTTTTGCCCGATGGGCCGCAAAAAAAAGGGTTGATACAAAACTCGCAACTTTTGCACAATAGGGGATAGCTCCAGTTCATCTGGTCATCAATTAATCCACTCGACTCGCATTGCAGAAACCTGGCATGCGCCTCCCTCCTCCACCCCCAGACAACCCACCTGTTGTGCTTACATACCCCAAGTACCGGCCGGTCAGCGCATGCAGGCTGCACGACTCCAACGGTCACTCGGCGTGGCTGTCTCTCTTGGCCCTCGATGTGTACACCAATAAGAACCTACTTCTGACTTGAGTTGTCGACTTTGCAAATCTGACTATGCTGCACTCAATCTGGCCCCCCATGTATGCGTCGCCCGAATCGATCTAGTCCGGCCTCTCAGAGCCGAGGCATCCAACGTTGTCACCAAGTGAGGCGTTGCGGGGTGCTGCGATGGGGACTTCAAGATTGCAGCTCTCTACCGGCTTGGGTCAGTGTGTCTTGTTACCCCCGGGCTTGGGTCGTGCATTACCAAGAGACCGTTTTAGAGAGAGTGGAGTATATTCTGCGACAGATTGGTTAAAGTGGTAACCTCCTATCCATCGAATCTCCAATGAGGCCTCGGACTATAGCAAGCGCGGAAAGTCTTGGTAAAGGGGCACATCGCCGTTTCTTGTTGGACGAGACACATAGTCGAGTTGTGCTCACCAACAGAGACTTCCATAGTACGATGGGGGGGGGGGTAAATTCGAGGGGCATCGTAAGCGGGCATATCCCCCCCTCCCCTCATTCCAACATCACCTCTATGGTCTCTCTGGAAGTCGTCCAAGTCTTGTCCCGAGGTCTCTCGCAGTCTGCTGCAACCAAACAGACTCCCGGAGGTTCCTCCGAGCCATTCCCAATTCGATGTCCTGTCGCGAAATGGCAGCTTAGCCAGCTCTCACGTGGCATCGCTGTTCCTTGGAATTTTTGAAAGCATCTAGCTTCACCGACTACTGAACTCTCCCATGTATGATGTTGTGGGGGAATGGCTTTGATATTCAAGATGCGACTGGCGGATGAATCCAACGGCCGTCTCCACGATGTGATCATTGATCGAGCCCGGTTGGATCGCGCCTAGGTCTGGATGTGCCTCACGAACAAGACCAGCGAGGCGTGTGAGTTGCAAGACAAGGGTTGGGTACATTCTCTAGTTAGGCATCGAAGATGTTCAAGCTGTAGATGGTCCACGAAAGAACAGCAACCTCGAAAACAAGATAAATAGTCGAGCAAGATCCCACCGGTAGACTGTTGATATCTTCGTTTCATCAGACTCAAGCTCTCGCTCAGAACCTGAATCCTCTCTCTCCTTCGCTCAAAGCCTAGCCAGCCCGCTCTCACTCGAAGACCGTTCCCAACTTCCAGACTCCAAAACTCGTTTCCCAAAAACAAATCAGTCAAAATGAAGTTCTTCAGCATCCTCTCCCTGGCCGTTACCCTCGCCGCCGCGGCCCCAGTCGAAGTCGTCGACACCGGCGTCGCTGACCTCCAGGTCCGCCAGACGGGAGCGACCAGCAACGAGCTCGAGTCCGGCAGCAGCTCCGCCTGCCCCAAGGTCATCTTCATCTTTGCCCGCGCTTCCACCGAGCCCGGCAACATGGTAAGCCAGCCGAAGTTCTCACATGTGAGCTTGTAAAAGGCACACCGAAGCTGATACGGATCGAAAAACAGGGAATCAGCGCCGGCCCCATCGTTGGCGATGCCCTCAAGAGCCGCTATGGCTCAAGCCAAGTTTGGGTCCAGGGCGTTGGAGGGCCGTACAGCGCCGATCTGGCTTCCAACTTCCTTCCCCAGGGAACCAGCACCGTCGCCATCAACGAGGCCAAGAGGATCTTCACCTTGGCGAACACCAAGTGCCCCAACTCCGCCGTAGTCGCCGGCGGATACAGGTGAGTCAGACCTTAGAGACGTCCCCCCCCTCCTTTCCCTTTGCCCCTTGCTGATGTGGTACGACGAACAGTCAGGGAACCGCCGTCATGGCCTCGTCCATCTCGACTCTGAGCTCGACGATCCAGAACCAGATCAAGGGCGTCGTTTTGTTCGGCTACACCAAGAACCTCCAGAACCTCGGCCGCATTCCCAACTTCCCCTCGTCCAAGCTGTCTGTCTACTGCGATGTTGCGGATGCCGTCTGCTACGGTAAGCGAGCCTTGTTCTCATCTTCAGAGACGTCAGAGGAACCACTAACGCGTCTAGGCACGCTCTTCATCCTGCCCGCACACTTCCTCTACCAGACCGACGCGGCCGTTGCCGCCCCTGTGTTCTTGGCTGCTCGCATCGGTTAAGGAGATTAAGCACGCAAACAGATCCGGATCGACTATGATTCGGACGCACCTGGCTGAGACTGAGGGGGATTGAGAGGGAAAACTGCCTCATGTGAGCCATCGGGCTCGCTTGCTGGAGACGGAGTTTGAAGCACGGCAGCAGAAAGGAATATCGAGGACTAGGATTGGATTGCTGGAGCATGATACTCACTCATTTGTTGTCGCTCATTTTGTTTTCTTTCTTCACTTTCTTGCCACTCATTTAGCTTAGCTACCTCATGCTTCATAAACGCTCTTACGATCTGGACGAAATGCAAAGGATATTCTTATTGTTGCTAAGTGGGTATCATTGAATCAATATTTCAAAACAGATGCTATGCCAGAGATGTTGCGCCAAGTCTCATGCTTTCGCCCTGCCCCGGAGGAATGCCGCGTGCCGTTGAGAGTGATATTTGACGTCTGCCGGGTGTAGCGGGTTGTACACTATCCGGCACGTCTTACACTCCATAAAAGTAGGTTTCGAAGATAGGTTGATGGTCGTCTGGACAGTCGGAACAGGCTTTGATCGGGAGGAAGGTTTCTTCAGCTTAACCTGGGATTCGATCTTCCCGAGGTCGACAAGCTCGTTGAGTTTGTTCTCGTCGACATCTTGCAGCTCTGTAGCACCACGTGCTCTTGTCCTGCGAGTATTTTGTACTTTCCGTTCAACGATGACACTGCCTTCTTCGTTCTCGTCCTTTTCGCCCTCCAAAGGGTCCGATGTATGTGACAGTGGCGTGCTGTGTCGTAGCTTCAGACGGCGGGGTTCCTTGATCTTTCTGAAGACGGGAGGTGATGAGGGTGGAGTATTGACCAGCTTTTCCGAGTCGGACAAGGGGTCGGAGGCTTCCGTGGCCGAGCTTGACCGGCAGGGCTTGAAGTAACTCAGAATTGAGCTCTTGGGTATGCTGCTTGATGGCGGCGCAGATTGAGCGGGAGGCAGCCGTGGAAGGTCTGGCGTCCGCGTTGGTGGTTCGGCTTCGGCTTTGCGCTTCTTGAACAGGAGGGACCCGACTTCGTCGTCAGCTGCGCGCGTACGCTTGCTGTAGGTTCTGAGAGTACGTCTACAAGGCGTCAATTTGGGTTCATATCGACACATGCAGCAGGTTCCGTACCTTTTGTCGGCTGTTGTTCTTGAGGAATCTGGTCCAGAGCGCGGGCTTTGTTGCTTGGTGGTTAGCGACATTGATGAAGGTGCAGAAATCATGCGAGCGCGAACCTCGTATCTGAGATTTGGTCCATGCCTCCGGGCAAGAGAACAGAAGTTGTCGTCTAACGAAGAGATGTGCCGAGATTCAGGCGCATGTAGGTGTGATATGGTACGCGACGCGCGCGCTCAGAGTTTCGTGTGGCAAAGACTTTTGGCGTGACGATAGAAGCTGATTACAGTCGTGACGAAGAGAATTCGCTGGAGACAGACCGGAGGTCCAGAAACAATTAAGAATTATAGTATCCGGAAAAGAGGTACGTGAGGCCGAGGCTGAAGGGAGACGCAGAGGCAGTGGTTGGCCCCCAGACCGGGGGAGCATTCAGGTACTGTGGGCCCCCCACCCAAAGCGCGTCGCGCGAATTGACGTGCAGCGACGCGTACAGTCGCGCACTCCAAAACTCTCCCCACGCCGTCACGTGTGAGAGGTACTCTATTTGACGAAGCCTCTCAATAAAGTACAACTGCGAAAACACGATTCCAGAGCCTCGGACGACTTCTGCCGTGTACTTACAAAAGCCGTTTTGGGGCGGTTTTCTGGCCTTGCACAGGGATGTCGCCAGGATTAGAACAGCAGCGCTTTACCGGCGAGTGCCAAAATCGCAAACAAGACTGCCAAGACTAGTTCCATTTCGTGGATCCTACTGCCTACGAAAGCCCCTTCAGTCTTCGCCGTATGCCTTCGTCCGTATCTTGCGATTTCGTATCAAGAAGGGTAGTCGTCTCTCCGGCAGGATCGACCTTACTAACCTTACCTAACACCCACGACTGCACCACCTCTCTGATTTCTTCCGGTTCCTTAGTCTTGGACTTGGCCTCCCCTATCCTCCAAACATAGCCGGAGTACACGGCGACCTCGGCTATCAAGACGACAATAGCGCCCCCGAGCGTCAGGAATATCCGGGCAGTCACATTCCACCATCGGGCCGCTATCCAGATGGTGGCTGCGACACCAATGATGCTTATGAGGAAGTTGAGAATGACCATCATCTGCTTCTGCACGTCTCCGAGCGTCACTTCGTCATCGCCATTATCTGCTTCGTTCATGGGGCGGTTTACTTCGGCGAAGGCGTGTGCTCGGGCAGCGGCGCTGGGAAATTGCTGGGAAAAGGCTTCCATCCGGGACGGTTGCTTCAGCATGCGCTGGTACGATCTTTCCTCTTCATCACGTCGCAAGCGGGCCATCAGGGCTTTGTATTCGGCAGACTGTGAAGGCATGGTCAGCGACCCGGGGCAGAGTAAAAGTTGGCTGTCTTGACGTACTGGTTCGGGCTTCGGAGGTGGCGGGGGGATATACACCCTGGCGCCTCGCAGCAGTCCCTCCAAACTGAAGCCCTCAATGCCTTCCGTCTTCAGGTTCTTCCACAAATCTAGTATCTGGCCGTGCGTAATTGGGCCTCCGATTTTAGCATCCCTAGCAGTCGGCTCTCCGGTTTTGACTGTCGCTGCGGCCTCATCGGCAGTATCTGACGTTGGTGCCTGATCAGTGTCCTCTGGTATCGCCGCGATTCCCCGTCCGGATCTGACCTCAGCCAGCCTCTGCTGACCTTCGGCGATGGCGGGTGTTATTGTCATTCGTACCATGGCTGCTGATGTGATGGTGTGGCCTTGACGATATCATTCCGGAACGATGCGACTTGGCGATAGAGACATGCAGCGTCAAATATGTCAGACACGGCCAAATCGGGGTAATTATTCAGGCGTCGGGTCGTGCCTGCCACCGATGCAACGACCGAGGCAGCTTAGCTCCTGCTCCAATGGAAGCTCAAGTTCTCAGGCAGTGAGCCAATCAGAAGACCGGGGTCCCACCACTTTTCTCCAAAGATACGTATCCCCGGGGTCCGCTTCCCCCTGCCTTAGGTAAGGGGAGCACAGGACTATCACGGTACCACCAAGGGAAAGATCGGATCTGCTGCGTAGCTGCTGTGGCTTGAATTTCTCGCCGCGGGAGGGAAGGAGAAAAAAAAAGTCATCGGCTTTGTACCATCTACCCGCCTTTAGCTGCCAATTGCCACAACCACGAATCTTAAGCAAGGTCTACTTACTTCAGATGCTGTTGGACCACTTGGCGATTCTTTTGACACTCTTTTGATTCTCTCCAGACCACTACAGGAGCCATGCAGCTCCGCACGGGAGCAGCAGTGCTGCGCAGCACTTCGATAACGTCACGATCTCTCCTCTCCTCCTCTTCCTCCCGATGTTCGCAATGTCGACGAATCGCTCCCCTCGATGCTCGGATACCTCTGACCACTGCCCTATACCACTCTTCCTCAAGAAGGTCTTCAGCATGGGGCGCTGCAGTATCTGTTGCGTCCAACATGGCTGCGAATGCCGTCAACCGCGTGATCCCCAAGGGTGACATGCACATCGACCCTCTGCGAACAGTGGCCAAGGAGATGAAGTTCTTGACGGGCAACATCCGGAAGCTCCTTGGCTCCGGCCACCCTTCTCTGGATCGCGTCGCCAAGTACTACACACAAGCAGAGGGCAAGCATATGCGTCCTCTTATCGTTCTGCTCATGTCGAGAGCTACCGCCCTTTGCCCCAAAGGTCCTCGGCTCCAGTCTGCTCAAGCCATTGGTAGCGTTGATACGGCGATATCTCCCCCGAACATCCTCGTCGACGTCAACCCGAGCTCGCCCTTGACAAGCGCCGCTCCCGAGCCTGCCGAGACCGAGTCTGACATCCTCCCGTCCCAACGCCGCCTTGCCGAGATCACCGAGCTGATCCATACGGCATCCTTGCTTCACGACGATGTCATCGACCACTCCGTCGCACGACGCGGATCTCCCTCGGCGAATCTCGAATTCGGCAACAAAATGGCTGTTTTGGCCGGCGATTTCCTGCTAGGCCGCGCATCTGTCGCCCTGGCCCGTTTGAGAAACGCCGAGGTCGTTGAGCTTCTTGCCACGGTCATTGCCAACCTTGTCGAGGGCGAGTTCATGCAGCTCAAGAACACTGAGCAGGATGAGCGCAAGCCGGTGTGGTCAGAGGAGGCGCTCACTTACTACCTCCAAAAGACCTACTTGAAGACGGCTAGCTTGATTTCAAAGTCATGCCGTGCTTCGGCGATCCTCGGCGGATCAGACGCCGCTTCGGTCGAGGCAGCATATGCCTATGGTAAGAACCTAGGACTCGCCTTCCAGCTAGTCGACGACATGCTCGACTACACACGGAGCGAGAAGGAGCTGGGTAAGCCGGCCGGTGCCGACCTTGAACTTGGCCTCGCGACGGCCCCTCTACTATTTGCGTGGAAGACGAATTCGGAATTGGGTGCCTTGGTTGGCAGAAAGTTCGAACAGGAGGGTGACGTCGCTAGGGTAAGGATGCGCGCGTGCAGCAACAGACACTTGGATTTGGAGAACATTATGACTAACACGGTTTCAGGCACGCGAGCTGGTCCTCCAGAGCGACGGTATTGAGCAGACGAGGGCACTGGCCCAGGATTATTCCGAACGGGCCATCGCAGCCATCAGCGATTTCCCCGAGAGCGAGGCCAAGGACGGCCTTATCGAAATGGCCATGAAGGCATTGAAGAGGACAAAATAAGCGACTGACGGCGTTGGCCGATCAGAACTCTGTACAAAAAAACCAAAATCCGGAGTGCACGCATTGTGGTAATGTGCGCTCAACACCACTGTACAACAGACCTTCAGGGCTCTTGACAGAGTACATGTAACGATATTATACAACTAGACGGCGCGGCGTGAGGCCAAGGGGGGAATATCATCGGGTTAGAGATGGCACAGGACTTGAATGCAATACCACAGACAATTTCCCTTTTTTCCATACGCGAACAGGACTCGGCACATGCGTACGAGGGATGATCAGCTGAAGGGGAAGATGATTATCCCGTGCAGGAAAGCCTGCTGTAGAGAGCGCCAATGCCTTGCACTTGATTGAGGAGATGGGAAATTTTTACTCGATCAGAACTCGGTGAGGTCTAGATGGCCGTCGTGATGGCAGGGTTCAGACGGGAGACAGCGGCGAGCTCCGTGGAGAAGTGGTTTCCATTACGTTTGTTGGATGGCTTCCAGATGCAGCGTGGTAGAAGACGGCAGTGTGATTAACTGCATGGATCCGTCAGGGACCTGCAAAGCTTACACGATACCTAGTCACCTAGTCGAGGCCCGATCTGATGCTCGCGAAACTTTGACACAGCCTGGCAGTCCTGAAAAGGCAGTGGCCCAGAGCCATTTGATGTTTCGTCTAGACATCCATCCGGAGGACCAAAGTGAAAACCAAAAATACGTCAAGCACGGTTCAAACAAACTATCTGTAGCTGCAGTAAGAGCCGCCGGAAGTTCCGGAAACGAAGCAAGGTTGCAGGGATGGTTTTCGGAGGTTGGTAAACGGATGAATGGTGTGATCGGAAGAAAGGGAGCCGGCTGTCGGGGCCGGGATCGCTCGTCCCAACAAATGAGACATTCCTCGGCTGGAGATGACTCGGTCTTCCAAAACTCCACGGGGAGGCGGCGGCTGTGTCACGACGGCGCCGGGTGAGTGGGCCTTTTTTTTTTTTGTCTTTCTTGTTCTATTCGTTGTCCATTATCGGTAGTCGGTGAATGGTGGCTAACAATGAGGTAAGAGACACAAAGCCAGCTCTCTTACTACCTTTATCGCGAAATGATCGAGTAATACCAACTTCTGGCCAATGGCAGATGAAGAAGATGGGTTGTAAACTCGAAGCACCAAATTCAAATTTGGTATCAATAGGCGCCATGAACGGAAAAATATCTTCACGAGAGGGAAAATCAAGAAACTAGAGTTCCCGGGACTCGCGAGGCGCATGACAATTGGCGGGCCAGACGCTCCAAAGAAAGCGGTGTTTTACTCGATCATTACTCGATCGAAACTCCCAAGTGAAGCTTAGACGACGCCTCGGTGCAGCAGCGGCAGCGGAGCACCGAAGTAATAAGCACACCAAGGCAGGGTGTCCAGACTCAGAAGGTGAGAGGCACAGAGGGCAACTGTCAACAGGAGCCAGACACACCAGAGAAAAAAATAAGCCTCCGATTTTTCCGAGAATGGCCGATGAAGAGTCAAGACGGTGATGGGCTTTGTTGTGGTGGATTGTCAGTGCCAAAGACTTATTTACGGGTAGAGGCATTTTAAACACATGCTTTTCTCCCATTCGCTCAATCCGGGATGACTAAGGCGTTCTAGATCGGGAAACGGCTGTGTCCGACGAACACGCCAACCAATCAGCGTCGGCTGATAACGACAAGGAAGACTTTCCAGTCTTTCAGGGTTCCCCGGGGTGCATTGAGATTGTCGATAGGGTCCCTCAGAATGAAGGGTTTCGATAACGCACCCCACACAACGGACACGAACCCCAGTTGCAGAAAGCAGAGGCCGACGGCACGGTCGTCAGTGGTCACTATTGGAGCGTAGCCCTGGGCGGGCTTTGGTCGAGTTGAAGAAGGTCAATGACGGGGATAGAGGACCCCGGACAGGGCCCGAAGGAGAAGGAGATGGCGGTGGGAGAGAGAGGGCTGAGCTTGCTCTGAATGGAAGATTGATGGTCTTTTCCTCGTTGGGATTGGCCCAGTGGCTGGTTCCCCTTCGATTCCCCGTGCTCCCCCTTTGTCAGATGTCTTCCTGTCACCTCAGAGAACGTTATCTTATCGGAGAGAAGAACTGGAAATGGAAGCCCAGAAGAACGAATGGAAGGGAATTGGCTGGCCCGGGGGCCCGTCCTAATCACGTCTGGACTTCGGGGTGGGCCGTGGATCGAGCCACGAACGGCTTTCCTCTGAGTGAGATTCGGACGGGAACCTCTCCTTTCTCCCCTTTCCTGTCTTATCTCTTTTATCTCTTCTCTATTCAATTTCTCTCCTGACCATCACCCATTGCCTTTCTTGGGACTCATAGTAATTCAAACTACTACACAAAACCACTCACTTTTGCTTGAGTGATTAGTTAGTCTTCACAAAAGTCTAACCAACATCTTACACACCTTGAACCCTTGAAGCCACACCGGCCATATCTTATCTCTCTCATCACCCCGCCACCCCGCGATCAAGATAAGCTTCGCTCTTCTCCAGACCCAACAGCAAGCTATCCAAGAACGTCCACCGCGGGGAGAGCTCTTCAAATACCGCGGTATTTCCCTTATCGGACCTACCCAAGCTTGCAAGATAAGCTTATCACAAACACAACCCTCTATCACTCTCTTCTCTCTTCACCATGACGGCCTCTCAAGAAACCACCACCACCACGACGCCCCTCGTGGTCCTCGTCTCAACGCGGGCGGTCCTCACCTTTGAACAAGACAAACTCGTCCTCACACCCGCAACGATAACAGTTTCGCCCGCCACCGGCAAGATCGTCAACATCATCCCGGCAGTCCTGCCAAAGACCTCCTTCCCGGCCTCCACCGAGTACATCAACTACGGCTCAAAGCTCCTGTTGCCCGGTCTCGTAGACGCCCATGTTCACCTCAACGAACCCGGCCGCACGGAATGGGAGGGGTTCTGGACCGGCACGCGGGCCGCTGCCTCTGGCGGTGTGACGACCGTTGTGGACATGCCTCTCAACGCGATTCCGCCCACCACGACGGTGGCTGGGTTCAAGGAGAAGCTTGCTGCGAGTAAAGGACAGTGCTGGGTCGACGTCGGCTTCTACGGTGGTGTGATTCCCGGAAACGCTGATGATCTGTTGCCCCTTGTTGAGGCTGGTGTCAGAGGCTTCAAGGGGTTCCTGATCGAGTCAGGAGTGAGTAGTATTCCGCGCCGTGTTTCGATGCTTTCAGAGTGTAAGCTAAAATTGATCCCCAACAGGTCGATGAATTCCCGGCAGTCTCATCGCAAGACGTGGCCCTCGCCATGGAGAAGCTCAACGGCACACCCACGACGCTCATGTTCCACGCCGAGATGATTCCTCCCATCTCCGACTCGGTGGGCGACGCAGTCCAGCAGTCTGAGCCGCCGCTGGCTCCTACCGGCGAGCTCAACTCCTACAAGACCTTCCTCGAGTCCCGCCCGCCTTCATTCGAGACGTACGCCGTCGAGGAGATCCTGTCCCTGGCCCACCTTGCGCCGGATCTCCACCTTCACATCGTCCACCTCTCAGCCACACAGGCCATCCCCCTCCTCAAGGAAGCCAGAGCAAAGGGCATCAACATCACGGCCGAGACGTGCTTCCACTACCTCGGCTTCGCATCGGAGGACATCGCAGACGGCGACACCCGCCACAAGTGCTGCCCTCCCATCCGCGAGCGATCCAACCGCGACGGTCTCTGGGAGGAACTCGTGGCAAAGGACTCGTGCATCAAGACCATCGTCTCGGACCACTCGCCGTGCACGCCGCAGCTGAAGCTCCTCCCGAGCCACCTCGAGACCCGGACCCCGCCCGAAAGCGACGCGCCCGACATGCACCACTCGGATTCCGGTATCGACATGACAATCCCTGGCGAGAGCGTCGATAAGATCCTCGCGGAGAAGACGCTAGAGGACGCGGCACTCGCCATGGCGGACGCGAGCTCGCGGGGCGACTTCTTCGCTGCGTGGGGTGGCATCTCATCCGTAGGTCTGGGTCTGCCCATCGTCTACTCCGCCGCGGCGGCGCGCATCGCTGCCGAGGGCGAGGGTGCGGCGCCGTCGATTGTGGATATCGTGCGGTTCTGCAGCCAGTCGACGGCGAAGCAGGTTGGTCTTGCGCACCGCAAGGGCGCGCTCAAGGTGGGTATGGATGCTGATGTCTGCGTGTTCGACGACACGGAGGCGTGGACTCTACGGTCTGGTGATATGCGGTGGAAGAACCGCTGCTCGCCATGGGAGGGTCATGAGTTTGCTGGGCGGGTGAAGGAGACGTGGGTCAGAGGCCGCAAGGTATTTGAGTTTGGAGGAAAGAATCTTGGATTCGTTGATGAGAGCCCTGTTGGTGAGGCTATTACGGAGAAGCGGACGGCGTAGGTGAGCGGGTGTGTTGGATGAAGAGACGAGGGTACGCATGAAGAGTTGGATAAGGAAGTAAAAGAGATAGAACGTGACGGGAGCATTAGCCGGGTAATGATTTAATGAGTTCTAAATTAGAACATATCGACAATAGGAAACAAGACATATAAATCCACTAATCGTCACTAAGCGTGAAGTGGACAAGAATTAAGCAAGAGATGAATGTCGTGTGCGTGCAGTGAGACATGACCCCAATCCAAGTTGGTGATTGGACAGGTCTGATAACATCGAGAGCCGACAGCATCCCAGATGATGACAGAGAAGATGGGCAACCTCTAGCAGTGACTTCGCCATGGTTCTTCATCTTGCGCGCTGTGTGTTGCTCCAGTTTTGGTACACAAAGACAGTGGAAGCTGAGAAAGCCGCGGGGTTGATACTCTTCAAATGCACAATATCTTCGATTGGCGATGATGCAAACGCACCGCCCTTGAAGGTACGAGGGTAATACCTGCCTTGCCAAAGGCGGGAGAGAGATGGGGGCCGCCCAAGCTTCTGATCAGTGGACCGTGTTCCTTCCTTCCTTCCTCCTCAATTGTGGGTCCCACCTCCCTCGCCTTTTTTTTTACTTCGAGACTTTGTACGCGATCTTATCTCGGCGACGGAAGGCACGAAGGAGCAAGCACCTTCTCCTAGAAGGAAGCTTCCCAGCGCACTTTCCTCACAACGATCTTTCTCGGCCCTTCCCTTCAGTCGCACCTTCTCAATTGTTCTGCGTCCCAGCGTCACCAACCGCCCTAGCGGAAATTTCACCATGTTCAACTCCATCTCGAGAATCTTCAACAGATACACGCCCACCAAGAACTCTTCACCTGGACCTACCAGACCGCAACGCGACGACAGCGAAGATCGCATATTTCCATCAACTGCGCCGGCCGAGCACCCCGACGGAATTGACGATAAACTGTTAGGAAGAATGGCGAACGAGGACGAGGACGAGGACGAGGACGGCCTCGACGGCTTTAACGACTACGTCGACCCGTTTTCTTCCATGGTCCCTTTCTCGACCCAAGCGGCCAATGATGGAGGTGCTGCGGACCCCGCGTATGAGTCCGACGAGGACAATAGCGTGAAGAAACGAAAGTCCAAGAAGTCCAAGAAGAGTAGCAACAAGAAGGACCGCAGCAAGAAGGGCAAAAGCAAGGCGACAGATCCGGAACAGTCGGACGCAGACCCCTCATCTTCCATATTCAGTGGCCAAATTGGCAATTCCAGCGACGCAGTGAAGGCCGACTACAATGTTTCTCCTCCGTCTCAGCAGAAAAAGCGCAAGCGCGCATCGGATGATCCCAGTGCGCCGGGCGCGTTGCAGGCGTCGGATCGGAAAAAGAGGAGGAAGAAGAAGTCGCGTCCATCAGTCGAGAATGCCGAAGATTTCGACATGGAGGACGCGCAGTCCGAAGATGTCGTGCCTGAGTCGCCCGAGGGCATCAACATTGCCCAACCCATCGTTCACAGCCCTGCCTCTGAGCCCGATCCTCTCGAGATCAAGTACGAGTCACAGCAGTCGCAACTCCTCGGCGTCCCCAGACCGTTCTTCACTCAACCTTCCGGCACGCCTCTGTTACCGAGTCCAGATGATGATGTATCCGATGATGGCCAGAATGGCCCGGCGTCTTCACCTAGTGTTGCAGCTCAGAGGCGCAGGAGCATGTCACGGGGATCTCAGATTTCATCCCTGAGACAGAGTCTTGCCAAGGAGGCCGCAGCTCAACCGCACGATACGACACAAGCGGTGGAACCTGCTGACGAAGTTATGGAGGAGGACGTGGAGACCGCCTCAGAGGAGGAGGAATCGATCGAGGCCGCTCAACGGACCTCACCAATCGTCGCAGAACCTGAAGATGAGACATTCGGTCAGGACAGCGTTGATGGTGACCAAGACGTTGATATGGACGAGACTGCGAACCAGCCCTCTTCGCCAGGACCTGTCGTCGAGGAAGACGACGACGCACAGTCTGATGATGGATCCCTGGCCGATGGTCTCCCCCCGTCATCTCAGGCCCCGAGAAAAAGCCCGACAAGCACACGCAGTAGCAGTGAAGAGATTGAGGTTGCTCCCACCCCTCAGCTGCCGATCAAAACTTTCCGCGATGCACTACGGGGCTCAGCCAAGAAGCTCACCACTTATTCCAAGAAGGATGCAGCTGTCGAGAACTCCGCCACAACGCCCAGAGCTACTCGACGTCGCAATGCCCAGCCAGACGAAGGACAGCCCTTTGATGTTGACAACTTGCCTAGCTCAGCTCAGAAGTCTACCCGCTCCACGGCGTCCAAGAAGCAGCGCTCTAAACCGGACTTCTTCGAAAAGTCAACATCCGCCCAAGAGACACCGGAGTATCTCGAGGTGGCAGGAAGCGCGGCTGGTGCGATTCAAGAGGCCGCCGAGGATCAGGAGCCCGAAGTCGAAGAGGCTCCAGTCAAGAAGCCAGCATCGACTAAGAAGGCAAAGCCTCAAATGAAGCTCAAGAAACCTAAACGGACAGCTGCCTCCAGCACTCCCGCAACCGTCACACCCAAGCCAGCAAAGACTAAAACGCCAAAGAAGGCTGCACAGCCCAAAGGAGCACCTCAGGGACCACCCGAGTTTATCGCTGGCCAATTCTCCCTTGAAGAGATGCGCAAGCTCAGGGAAATTGTCGAGAAATATCGCGATGAGAACGACCTGACGCAGGAAGAGATGAACAACCTTATCCAGATGAAACAGCGCAGAAAGCCGTGCAAAACGGCCATCCCATATGACAGCGATAAATTTCTCCACTTGTGGAATTACATTTGTGCCGCTCTGCCTGACCGGCGTCGCCAGAAAACCATCGATGTTGCTCGCCAGAATTTTCACAACTTCAAAGCCCGCGGAGGAGGATGGACTGCTAAAGAAGATGTCAAGCTGGCGATGCTATACGCCAAACACGGCAGTTGCTGGACCAAGATTGCGGAAGAGCTGGGCCGCTATGACAAAGACGTTCGCGACCGCTACCGGAACTATGTCATTTGTGGCCGCACGGAAGGCCGCACGTACTGGACCGAAGAAGAAGAGAAAGAATTGGTTGAGCATGTCATCACCTTGCTTAGACGGACTGACCGATCACCTTCCAAAATTCAAGAGCCTTACGAACCCTTCATCAACTGGCAGACGGTCAGTGAGCTGATGGGCCACAAGCGCTCTCGCCTGCAATGCATGAGAAAATTCAAGAGCCTCAACGTGGAACTTGCTCCCAGCGATGTTCTGAGGTCTTCGCGTCCAGCCTCAAAGGTCACCTGGACATTGGAGAAGGCCCGCAAGCAGATCCAGGAAATGGCGCCTGAAGATAAATACGAATTGGTCCGGGCTATTCTCGCAGGAGGCGCTAGTCGCGATCGATTGATCAAGTGGACCAAGCTCGCCAACTTGGAATTTCGCAGGAAGTGGTCCAAGAAGACTCTACAGGTGTTGTGGTATCGTCTAAGACAGCTCGTTCCCGATGAAAAGGAGAAGTCAGTTAGAGACTGCGCCCGTTGGTTGCTGGAGGATGCCAAAGCGAGCGCCCCCCGGGGTGCCAAGATTCTCAGTGGAGGGGATGACAACTACGATACTGAGGACGAGATGGCTGTTGTTGAACCTCCCAAAAAAGCCATGCGTCGAAAGAGCTTGAAGAAGAACGAGCCACGCAGCGCTGAACTTGTGGTTGATAGCGATGTGGCTTCTGACGACGACAACAACAACAACCAAGACGATGACGACGTCTCTGAAGCCGACGAGGAAGACGAGACCCGGCTTACGGAACTTGAATCTCCGTCTACAGAGCAGTCACCGTTGGCCGCATCAGCACAATCGAATCGACTCTCGACCGATTCCATATCCAACGCTCTCTCTGCGTCTCCGTCTCTCCAACCTGCTGGCGTTTCCAGACTTCTCCCAGCCGAGGCGGAAGACGCCAGGCCCAGCCCAGCTAAGAAACGCGTCAGGCTTTCTGGGGGTACTTCATCTAGACAACGGTCTACGGAGAATGACGGCAGTTCACCAGAACCAGTCGCCTCACAATATGCGGCCGAGAAGATTCCCGATCGCCTCAAGGAGAAGAGAGAAAAGGCCAAGAGGCGCATTTCTTCCGGGAATAGACTTCGATCAGCGGCATCAGCATCACTGCAACCGGAGTCGGTGCAGAACAGCGATGTTGACGAAGACATGCCACCGATTCGCGTCCCGCCTTCGACAGCACCCGCATCTGTTAAGAGCAGAAAAGCGGACAGACGGCTGGGCGATTGGGCCAGGAAGACTGGAGGCCCCGAGCCGCCAGGCGTGCCAGCACCAATCAGCGACGAAAACGACGAAAGCATGTCGCCGGCTCCCGCTCCGCCCTCGACCGCACCCACGAGTCTTAAGGGGAGAAAGAGACTGAACAGAATGAAGGCCTAAGCCACCAAGCCGGTAGCTTGGGCCGCGAATGCGCGCTGTGATGGATGTGGAAACAGACTGTAGTAGTAGTACAAGTCTCGCAATTTCATGATCAGAGAAGTAGCGTGGTGGTGTGCATGATGATACCCCGCGAGACTACGATCTGGACTTGGGAACAACGTTTTTGGTGGACTTGATGGCCAGCGTCCAGTAGCGAATACGTTCAGCAGTGACTGCCAGGACGACCGACGTTCTGGTGCCACTTGTAATGGCAGCATGGGCAAAACAGGTTTAGGTCAGGTCATGGCATTTGTTTCGGGGGTTGGTCTTTGGAAGTGGATCATATTGAGTGTTCAAGGATGGGATTCATACATAGCTTGGTAGCCGCAAACCCCATAGCATGGCTCAAAACAAGTCGTGTTGAAGCCCAATTTCTCAGTTGTCAAATTCCCACGTTCCATTGTCCTTTGCGGAATCGTCAGTTGAGTTGTTGTCGTGAGGAATTTACATCATTGGTCATGACTCGTCGGTGGCCAGTCGAACCACTCAAACGATAACGAGGTTTGAAATTATTATTTTTTTCCCTCTCACTGGTTTTCCATGGGGTGGAATGTCGTCATACACCGACTACTCATGAATCAGCTACCATAGCTATCTAGCAAAGTGCCAACTGCCAACTGGGAATCTATTGGTTATGGGCCTAGACGGTCAATAGCAGAAACCCAGATTTATCTCCGACCGTGACGGATCTGTCCACTTTTCGCATCCGTGCCGCTGTCGCCGCCCGCCGCCACCGTAGGGCTGTGGGATGACATTCTACGGTTCTTTTCGTGGCGAAGGAAATGTCCAAGTTGCGCCCGTCTATCCACCTTGTTATCATGAAAGCGGATAGAGGGGGAGAGACATCGGTTCTCGCCCGAGAACGGGGGAACCCAGCAGGATGGGAAGGGCCTTTTTGGCCCCATGTACGTGCGTGTCAACTGGGGAATGACTGATGCGTGCTTTTGCAGGTTTGCTGTACACGTGTACGGAGTACTGGAGAACCCGACGAAGCTTGATGACAAAGTTGACCTTAAACTGGCGAGTCCGGGCCACTGGGAAAGAAAATGTGACGACCACGTAACCCGCCCCCCCCGAACCCAAGACGCGACGTCATCCGGGGGAGGCGATGCGCAGACTTTCTGGAATGATTGTGTGAATCTTCCGATATCTGGGGAAAGGATGGGGGGTCCGAAAGACAGGTCACAGTATCTGTTTTCTGTACATGGCCATTCCGAGCGGAGTCTTGAGTTTTTTCCCCCTCGCGCGTTGGCGGATGTCATTGTCACGATGGCTTCACGTACTCCGGAGCAGGTTCCGCGCGGAATTTCTTTGGCGGAGAGGAGTCAGAGAGGAAAAAAAAAAAAAAAAAAAAAAAAAAATTTGTGTGTGGCGTCATGGTTCCGTCGCGGAGGGAAGTCGGCGCGCGAACGGGAGTCTGCCAAACGGTGCTCATCGGATCGGTGTCGAATTTTTGGCCGAGTCAGGACGCATTACCTTTGGGTAGATCAGTAAACGCCGAGAGATCGGAGAAACATTTGAAGGCGATCATCCCGGGCGTTTCGGAGAGGTAGGAAGTACGGAGTAGTGTACTGAAGATTGTCACGGATGGGATTTGCAGATGCTGATACATGGGGTAAGGTTAGGTAAGGTAAGGTATCCATCCGTAGGTAGTCAAGAGGGAGAGCGTTGGCATTAGTATCGGCGTCGGCGATAGCAGCATCAAGCATCGCGATTGGCGTCCAACACTCCCAATCCGCGGAACTACGGATCCACGTGACAGAGGGAAAAGGGTACGGAATACTTGAGAGGCTGAGAGCGGAAAGGACAAGACGAGCTTCGCTTTCAACCTTCAGGCTTCAGCTACCTTACACAGCAGGTAGAGAACTGAAAGTCGAGCGAACGGAAAACATCCGATCAGACCACCGGATGAAAAGCGGGTCCCAAGGACCGACCGCAGCGGCGTGGCCGCACTTCGGGCCCTTATGGCAGTTTTACGGATAGTTGATGGGGCGGAGGGTCCGCCCGATGGAAAAGACCGTAGGCTGCCCTCCCACGCCCCTCCCCTCCCCTGGGGGGATCCGCATTCAAGGCGTACGGCCGAGGTGAGGCGAGAATTTGCGCGCGCAATTGGAGCCAATGGGACCACCTTTTTGTCAAGAAAAGATCCGAATTAGTGCCTTGAGATGCGATTTGAGCCACATTTGCAGATGCAGTCAGTACTTGCTGGGCTGTTTATGTGGCGAGGTGGTGAAGTCTGAACTCTAAAGGCAGTTGGGTGAGGTGGCTTGACCAGATTTGGTCTCGAGATGCTTCACGATGAATTCCTGGATTCGTCCATCGTGAGCTTCATCACCACAGATCATTCACTTGCTCTCTTGGTGCTGACCAGATCTCGCCCAAATCTCTGTGAAATCCCCTCTTTCGCTCCTCCATAGCTCCTCCTTATTCCCACTTCTCATTCAACTCGAAAGTAAAATTCCATGGTCTCGTGTCGTTGCGAGTTCCTCACTTGTCGGCCCTTTTTTCCTCTCGCGTGTAAAAAGAAACGAAAAGACTCTTACCACAGTACTCCATCATCCCCCCCCTTTTTTTTCTCTCCCCTTCCCACATCTCATCTTAGGCAGCCCAAGCCGTGTAGGTAGCGGTTGGCAGATGGCCGGCAGCACATTTCGTCGCTGTTTCGCATAGCTTCGTAGGCTTGTAAAGGATGGGGCTCAATACTCGGCATGCTCTCGCGGTAATCGTGGAGTCGTGGCCGAGTCTCGGTGCTTCTTCTTTCGCGAATGTCTCTCGTTAGACTCCCCATCGTGGAGACCAAGGGGGATGCCGGCCGGTGAAGTAGTCGCGCGGGTCCGTTGGTCCGTTGAAATTCTAGGTGGGTGTTTATAGAGAGACTTGTCGAACGTGAGCCGCATCCGTAGCCCTCAATAGCTTCTCTGTTTCTACAGCTCTCGCGCTTCTCACGTCTTTACTCGCGCAGTGACGAGCATCTCTCGCTCTGTATCTCTCCCCTCTGAGACTCTGCCCCCGTTGGACGTTGACCAACAGTGGCGCCAACGGTATGCATAGACGGACGGCGGTTATCAGGAACCGGGCGCGCTAAGAGCAACGAGAGCAAGCCACAGCTAGGGATAGATACGGACACAGGTGTCCAGTATCTGCGAGCTAAGGTGGCCGGCCTAGTAGGGGCGTGTCACGGCGGCATCTGCTTGCCGGGCCGAAGAGGACCAGCAGGGTTCAGGGGGGAGGTCCCGTCAGCGGACAGGGAAGGAGATACCAATTTTTTTTTCTTCTTGTTAAATGCCAGATGGAAAACAAGAAGAAGGGACAGGCAGGGCAGGGGTGCAGGGGTCACTCTCTAATCGGACCTTGCGTGGGCCAGGAGGCCATGCGATGCCATGCGGCTGCGTTGTGGTTTTTTCGCGGTATTCTCGTGATATGGTAAGTTACATGGTGCAGATGTCGGTCCAGAGAATGAGCTTCTAACCGGACGATGTGATGCATGCTTCGGGATGTTTTCTTGCTGGTATAATACGATGGCATGGCCGAAGTGTACATGCTTTGGTGAGTGAATGCAGACATTGCAGAGATGTGATGTGTTGATGTCTGCAACAAAATCCATGATATTCCCAGTGACAGGCCATGGCATGCCAGATGGCAGATGCCGCCCGCCCGTGCGGTGGAGATCTTCCTTACTTTGCGCAAAGTACGTACCCGGAAAGGGAGATGCGGCGACGGCACGGTACTTGGGCCCCAAAGGTGGATGGATGCCCTCTTGTTTTTTTATTTTTTTTATTTTTTATTTTTTTAGCCCTTCATGATCCCGTCCCTTCATTACTATGCATGTCCCTGTTTACCATGTCGGTTTCTTTCCGCATCTACGTGGACGAACAAACTGCTTCTGCATCGTCCGATGTTATGATGTGAGAATGTGTGGTTCCAGGGCTCCAGCGATCTTTTCTCGAAGAAACAGATGGGTTCAATCAGAGGGCAGGGAACCTGACTCTCTCCAGCTGCACCTTGCCCAAGAAAATCTGTAGTTTGGTATGACAAACCTGCATGTTAAGCTTTGAGTTTGTCAGTCCATCAGTCAGCCGTGCAGCATATCCTGCTAGCAGTGCTGCTGTGTACCCAAGGTACCTAAGCCAAGCAAGGCCAGCCGCCAAGCCGTCGTTAGTCGTCACCCTTGTCATTCAATCAATCAAAATCCCGTCCCTCCACGGCATGGCACATGAATGATCAAGGTTAGGTGCTTTCACAATTCCGTGGCACGGTGGCACGGTGGCAGCATACGGGACGGGACCTGCATCGGTGCATCCTGACCCTGACGTCAATCGGAGGCTTCGGGATCTCCACCAACGACGAGCGTAACGACAGCGGGCGGATCATCTCGTGCTAGCCATTCCGCACTAGACAGATTCTAACAGCACGCCAAGGATAAAGGGTCCGATTAGTGTAATTGTGGCCCGTCCAATCTGGGCCTTGCCTGGCATTGCTGCTTTCTCAACTTGTCGCCCTGCCCTGCAAGCCGAGATCCTGGACAGGGAGAGCCAGATCCGTTCGGCGAGTTCCAGCTATCACGTCGAATAATTGTGGTGACCCTGCCGCATACGCCGTCGTCTCGGCCTCTTTCTTGTCAACGGTCCCTGTCACCTTGCCTTTGCTCTAACCACCACTTTTCCATGTGTGCTGCTCAGTGCTCGCTCACCACCGGGGAGCCTCATCGTTAGACCGACTCCTCTTAGTGGCCGAGCATTGGACCGAAAAATTGTAATGAGACTCGACGTCAATCATCAGCTCATGGCACACACACCCCCTTCCCTTCTCCTTCGCCGACGCCGACGCCACGCACCGTACACGGTACACCGTGCACCCAGCTCACTCATTCTCTCTCTCCTGTTCCTTGTTGACGGTGCTGGACGGTGGTTGCTTGACCTCAGCTGTATCGGCCGGAGGTACTCGGCGCAATGTACCACCAACGTCACTCGTGAGGCTCGCGACCGGCGAGAGAGCTATGGCCATCCGGTCCATCAGCGGCGGTCCCACCGTTCCAGTCCTCCCAGAGGTTTCTCCCACGACTCCCAAAAGTCTCCACGACGTTCAATCTTCCTATCACCCTGGTCCGACATGTCACCATGGTCACGGTATTCTCTCTCTCGCGACTCTCTCCGCGAGGGGCCAGAACCACCTCTTTCTTCACCCAGTCTTCACCCGCCATTATCCCACAGTCCAGCCCACACACGTACGTTGCTGCCCGCACTTTTCTTGGTTCGCCCACGGGCCCCCGACTTGTCCGTTTGATGCATGTTGTTGTGGACTGTGGGAGTGTGGGTATCTCTCTCTTTTTTTGCTCTCCTTTCGATTTGATTTTTCATTGTTTAGCAAAGCACCAAGATACCCACCCTAGCTGCCCTGCTTGGTCAGAGACGTGATCATGAGGCATGAAAAGCACCTTTCCATCAGTCAAAGTGTGGAAACGCATGCGGAGGCATACGGGGATATACGGGGAGCGAATGGGTTCGAATGGGTGAGAACGGGGTGAGAACGGGGTGAGCATCTGGTCATTCCTTCCTTGCTTGCTTCCTTCCCCTTCTTCGTGCCTTCCGAGCCATGTTACTAGTGAGTAATGTAAGGTCAGGAAGGTACCTCTCCTTCCGTGATTCCTTCCATACCTTAGTCAAGTACCCAAATAAGGTAGGCACGTACGGTACCTAGGTAAGTAGTAAGTGAAGAAGGTACGAACCGGAAAGTAGGTACGTCCCAACCCGGAGCCGTGGTCGCGAGACCCAATCCCCGGGCAGTCCCCCAGTCCCGTACCTTCCCAGTCACCGTGGAAGGAAGGACCTGCTCGTCTCCTGGCCTGGCCTCTTTCCTCTAATACAAAAAGAATCCTTTCCTTCCCCCATCGTCTAATCGTGGCCCCCTTTCCTCCTTCCCATCCCACACTTCTCCAGACTAATCAGAGTTTTATCTCGACTACCTTGTCCTCTCCACATCTCAACCACCAAACGCAGGTATAATACCTTCCTCCCTCCTCCTCCTCCCTCTTCAAACAACACTCAACAACAACAACACCAACCTCAACTCTCACCAACAACCTCACTACCCTCGGAACCAACATAGTTATCTCTCCCGCCTCTACATCCTCCCCTGGATCGAGAACACCAAACCCGCCCCCACATATCCATCCCCATATCGACGTGCATCGTCCGCATCGCCCATCATGCAGTTCCCCAAGCTCGGTGGCAAGGGCGTAGAGCACAAGGACCGAACGGAATCTCCCACCCCGGATTCCGGCTCCGATATCATTGCTGAGCAAAAGGTTACTTTTGCCGCTGCTTTCCTCGGTCTTGTTGCCAGTATCGGTGGTTTCATGTTCGGTTATGTCAGGTATGTCTTACTCCCCTCCGGCGCAACTCTCCGCTCCGCCCTCCCATCTGAGACCTGTCTGTCTCGCCGGCCATTCCGTTTACTGACCCTTTGTTCTCCTCCACAGTGGTCAGATTTCTGGTTTCTTCCTGATGGAAGACTTCATGCAGCGCTTTGGTGAGCCCCAGGATGGCACCTACGTCTTCAGCGCCGCTCGCCAGGGTACCATAGTCGGTCTCTTGTGTATCGGCTGTCTCGTCGGTGCTCTCACTGCCGGCAAGCTCGC